AAAGTAAATGAAATAGAAAAGAGTAATATTATAATGCAGAGAAACTAAGACAAAATCAAAAATGAATGAAACTTTAAATTTCTCAAGAACAACACCAATTTAAGTAGACAGAAATCCTGAACATGGAAGAAATCCAGACTTCAGAAAATCAGGAATAGCAAGAAAAAAGAAAATAATTGGATTACTCCAAAACAAACTGAAAACTAATAGTATAAATGGAATACGAAGATACTGAAGATTGGAAAGTTGTTCAATCATTGTCTTAGGAAATGATTGACAAAACTCGAAGAGGAGAAATAGCAGAAAATCTAAGAAGCTAAGAGTTAAAAGGAAAGGGAAATCCCACACACAAAACAGGAATTATTAGGCCTTTAGCTATTCCGAAAAAAACTGAGCAAATTTGAGAAAGATGCTGAAAAAGCTGTTAGCATTCTAAAGAGAAATGAAAAGTGATATAATATTTACGCATTTGAAATTTGATAATTAGAAGATATCTGTGAAACGTTATTAAATATTTGTACGAGAATATGCTGTTTCTCATTTATCTACTGAGAGTAGAATTTGGGCAAAATAAAAATAATAATTACCAGCAAATATCACAAGATAGCGAACTGCGAGCATAAAAGTAGTCAGGGTTGAAGATCAAGCAAAAGTTCTTTAAAACGTGGAGATTTTTTAGCTTACTTTACAGAACAAAAATAAACATAGGAAAGAAAAGAAAGTTTTAACCTTGCAGATTTGAAATTTTAGGTCGAAGAGTGTAGACCGCAAAAATTGCTGGCTACGTTTGTTTGCAAATGGGTCGCAATTCCCTAGAACTTGGACATTTTTTATTTACGAATACACTTCTTCTCACACTGCTAAAAGAGTACGGAAGTACAAATCGCCTACACATATGCGACAAGATGTTTAGGTGTGGCATGTTTGACAACAAAATGTTTAGTCTGTAATACATTTAGCCGGCAGCACATTTAACCAACACGTGCTATCAGAAGCATATGGAATTTATATTTAGCATAGAGTACATCTGACGGAAACATACCGTCAGATGTACTCTATGCTATATAATTTTTAATAAAAATTGTTGCAACTTATCAGAGCATAGGCCGTTTCCAGAGTACGCAGGGAAATGATTTATTGAGAAATACTACAGTTTTGTTTTTATTTAATGTTAGATATAGTAAAAATAACTCACACATAGTTTGAATGCAATAAAACAGGTTAAAAAGAATGTAATAAAGGGCGTGGCATGCAAAAACAACTGTAGCCGACATGTACATTTAACTGATGTATACATTTATGAATATTTCCGTTACATGTGAAACGTTTTCAACAAATTAGAATAATAATTTTAATATAGTACTTTCTAATACAGTTTCTCTTTGACAATAGTTTATTTATAACAGTCAATTATGATACTTTGTTTCTAATGTTTTAATCTACTGGCACTAGATAGGAACCCTGGCGAATGAGTTAGCTGTATGTTTTTTTTTTTTTTTTTTTTTTGAGTTTGCACCGTCTGTAATATAAATACGAGTTATTGTTCATTAAAAAGCTCTTCATAAAGGCATGCCCTTTCTTAGACAGATAGCACTAGAGTGCATTGCCGTAATCAATTAGTTTGTAAAGTTTCTTTTGATTTTATAAAAGTTATTTTTAATTCTGAAACCCTTTCCTTTAAATTCTTCTTTCCCACTTGCAACTCCCTACCAGAATGAGTTTTTAGTTTCGCGTTTTTAGTAAATGAGATACTATTTAAGGAAGGTTCAGCTTACGTCCGTAGGTTTGGTTTGGTTTATGTTATTACAGGAAAGTCTCGAGGGCTATTTGCCTAAGAGGAGGAATGCCTTTATGGAGGATTTTCTGAGGAAAGCTGGCATATATACACGTTACACATGAGGAAAACCCACGAAAATGCCCATGAAGCCAGCCCGTTCGCGGGATTCGAACCTCGGATCGAACTATCAGTGTTCAAAGACTTTACCGCTCCGCCGCTGGTGGGCTCTTAATTCAGTAAGAGAACTTAGGTGTTCTTAGTGGCACGTGTTTAAGCTGCTTCGTTACTAAACCAGCTACACTCAGCCGTATTGTACGTGAATGTTTATCGCCGGCTGACTTAATTAAGGGCCAACTACTTCAGGTAATTGTATTGAGCTTCGGCTAAGGCTTTTAGTTTAGTATTACATTCGTTTCTTATTTTCTTAGAAAGCCCGAGTGGAGGTTTTCCTGTAAGCCCGAGAAGGAGCCATCTGTTATTATTTCTTTGAGTGGATAAAAGCGTGTTTTAACTCTTCTCTCGACTTGTACTTGAACTCGGTAATAAGTCGCTACGCAGTTCAATAGGTTTTTCTACAATCAGCATAGACACAATCGTTAGGAGCATTATGAGTTCATTTAACTTATCGACAAGCTATTCCAGTTCTGGTACCATAACTTCTTTTAAAAATGAGTACTACTTATGGACGGAGTTTTTCTTTACTAGTTGGTTTATATTTCAGGCATATTATATTTACTAAAGGAAGCGATTATTTGCGAAAGAGTAGGATTTTTAACTTATCCGCAAGGCATGAAAATATATTTTAGATGTGTTTGTTCTATTTTCCCAAGGGTTTTTGAAAATCATAAAAAAAAAAAAAGAAATTTCAAATAATATTTTTCCTTGCGAAGAAATCCTTTGCATCGAAATGCATTTTTCTGAGTATCAGCTTTATAGATTCTGAATCATATGTCTACAATACTCTTTTAGGGATTTATACAAAGCAAAGAATCAAGCAAAACGTTAGGGTAAGGCTTAGGAGTAGAAAAAATTTGTTTACAAATTTATCTTATGAAAAAGCATTTTGAAATCTTGCAAAAGACGTATCGCGCTCCAAAGAGGGAGAAATAGCAGTCTTATCAGAATCTATTTTCTGAACATTTTGCGAGTGGTGCTAGTAATATTCATGGAAAGTTTGTAGGCTTCCATATCTTAATGAATTCATTATAAATTTTGCGACATCTGGCATAGCTTAATATTGTTAGGTGCCTACGGGTTCGTCATGGATTGAATGCCCACAGAATCGATGATAACTTGATGACATTTATTAAAGGGAGACTGGGGATTAGGGAACCCATTCATCAAATCCTGGCAGTAACGAATTATTGTTCTCCATCTTTTAGTTCGGCCGCCACGGTAGAGTGACTAAGTGCATTGCTATGATGACTTCCTAACACGGACATAAACCAAGCGGAATTATATACCATCACGGTGGGAAACATCCAAAGTAAAAAAGTTGAATATTACATACTAATAACAGTTTCTATAGTTTGATAACTGCAGGCACCAAACGTTATTCTGGTTATCTGTTTTAAATTCTGAACGTTTGAAACATAATACCAATAATAATTTACCAAGGGCTACTCTGTTTTTGAGAGTGTTAGACGTCCACATTGCCCAGGCACATTCCACTGGTTTCTTCAAGTGCCAGGCTCTTGTATGTACACAATAAAAGTAATAATGGCCCGTGCCTCCTTCCTCTCCGCATTCGCAGAAAAGAGTATCCGAGTATCCCTAAGTCTGAATCTGTTGAGGAATAATTGGAATGGTCCATGACCTGTCAAGAACTGTGTTAGGCTAGCACAGTGGGTCTTTATTTCTATGTTAACTTTTGGTAGTAAGCGATATGCCCTTCGTCCTACCTCTGCCTCTGTCCATCTACTTTGCCAATTTTTTAGCAGTGTTGTCAAAGTTTTTCGCTTAATGTAAAACCAAGAAAGTTTAGTTGGTCGTTCTAATATATCCGTGCAGTTGGCTGCCTGCTTGGGCAGTATGTCAGCGGCTTCATTGCCCTTGAATCCCTGTATGAGCGGGAACCCATTTTAAAGTGGGTCTTTGTGAGATATGCATTGCCAGAAGCTGTTTCTGAATTCGGTATAGCAAAGGACTCCGACTGTTTTGACCTACGATAGTCGTCCGACTTGATGCCGAACCGCTGAGTACGGAGAATTTCTGCTGTTGACATGTGTTCGCGTACCTAATTGCAGCACTGATAGCTAGAAGCTCTGCTTGGTATACCAAGAGTCATTAGGTAATTTTTTTTTTTTTTTTTTTTTTTTTTTTTTTTTTTTACGCAGACACGTGAAAAATATGCAATTCTCTCGCAGGGACTCGAAAAGTGTGGTACCGTTACACCACGAAGGCATGCTGGAAGGATCGAGAAAACACCTTATAAACAGCTGGAACTTCTTACACAAAAGTACTTGTACAGATCTTCTCAGAATGACAGGGCACAGTCAGTAGTTACCACTTCAAACTACTGAAAAAGTATTCTAAAGTTCCTCAGAATAGTTCCTTCTATTCATTTCCAGCGTAATAATTAACTATGGGATATCTGTGAAGAACATTTAAAGTGTTTCTTGAACATTTAAATGTCTGAAAAGTGGCACCTTAAAATGATGATGGGGTTACAAAAAACAGAGTATGCTATGTATGCGTGCATCTTTCATTGTCCTTGTTCTTGACTTCAAATTGAGATCAAGTACTTTGATGGGGTTTAATGCTGGAGTAAAAATTGCCAGCAGTTTTGGAAATGAATTTCATAATGCAGCAGTTTTGGAAATGAATTTTTTGAAAATGAATTTTATTTTACAATTTTTACTCTGTATATAATGTGCTATTTCATCTAAGCAGAGAAGCATTAGCAGTTTCTCTAAGGACTTTACTTTGCAGAATTAATATTTCATACCGTTGCATAGTATTTCCAACTGTTCCCCATATCGAATAGGTGTAAACTAGGCCTGGAAGGGTTAATGTTTTGCACACTAATAGAGAAAGGCTGCTATATTCTCTTAGAAAAGGTCTTAAATTTGTTACGAAAATATAAAACTTGCATCTGAATTTAACAAAATGTTGTTTCCTTCATCGTCTCGTGTCCCTTTCTTTAGTTAACGCTACAGTTAAGCTCGTTCAATTATTCACTTGAAAAGGTGATGGTGTTCATTATAAATTTATGATTTTGAGAAATCTTTGTACCTCAATATGTATATGTTTGGCTTAATTATTTTAAATAGTTTAAACTTCTGTGTGAAAAGGAATTTTATTTGTGAATTAGAATGCCTTATTTAGAGTTGAAAATATTTGAAAGAAAAGGTTAGTACATGTTTTTAATAAATTGCTTCAAATCTTTATAAATTATAATGATTAATATTTTTACAATTTGGTACTTAATATTTCAAATTCGTATTTCAAAACTATGATTTAAATTCAATTTTAATAGCTTCTAGACAATAATAATCTAGTTATTATCTAGAAACAACAACTATTAAAAGAAAAGTCTTATTAATTTTATTCAGTGCCTGTGAATGTGGTCATTCTGTGAAAGATTTCACAAGCTTATGGTACCAAGTTTTAAGATGATGGTTAAAAAATGCAGAAGCCTTTGATTCCTTTTATATTACTTTACTTTAGATGCCTTTGATTATTTATTTAACTTTAGATGCCTTTAATTCCTTTACTAAGACCGAAACATTAAAGTGACTTTTTCAGTTATTTTTACTTAACGTCTTTATCTTACCTTTCTTTCATCACTTCGAATTTTTAGTTGCAGTCAACTCCCGATTAACTAGAGATGAATTAATTAAGCGAGTTGCAGATTGACCAGATTTTTTCAAAAACTCGTTAAGTTGTTCATTGTGGAATGAAGAAAAAATTAATATCAGTAACCTCACAATAAAGTTAAATTTCTATGGGAAATCCAAAAAGCAGAAAAAATAATAAGTGAAAATAAAATAGTGATAGTAGACGACATCACAGAATTCAGGAATTGTTGTTATCTGTGCGAGTTAGTAATTTCATTGTATATATGTGCGAGTTAGTAATTTCATTGTATATAATCTGGAGGGAAATAAGTACTGTTAAATCCTACATAAAAAATGAATAGCTAAATCGCAAAATTGAATTAAGTGCATAACACTTTCTTGTCATACCATTAAGAAAAAAGGGTACTTTTCCGTTTAGCCGACGCAAATCTCGCCAAGCAGACTTTATTGGCGACAACATACAGTATACACAAAAAAAAATATTTAAAAAAATGTTAGTTCTAAAAATTCTTTTTTTGAAGGCATAAACATTGTAATATCGCTTAAAATTTTATAAAAAGCCAATAAATAAAGACAATAAATTTGTAAAAAGACATTAATTTAAGAATTTACTATGCTTTCATGGTTCAACATCCTGATTCGCCGGTTCATATCACGTGACTCCAAGCGATCACATCTCACGTAAACTACTCTACAAAAATCTAATGCTCTCAGTAATTATCTACATTAATTTCAAGTTAAATCTTAATTTGGAACATAAGATTAAATGCAAGAAATATTTCAATTCGTACGAATAGCTTACTTAGAAATTATGTAAAACTGCAGTGCTTTACTTCGCTAATGCATTCTCATTAGAATTGAATTTAACCCTTGACTTTACCTTTTCTATATTTTCGGCATCGGATAAACGCTGTGATTGCATCCTAATTGACTTAATTACCGAAAACAGCCTTAGACATGAAACTGAAATATCTGATAAAAATTCTATGCAATTATATGCCAGTATTGAAAAAAACAATCAATCTGATAAGAAAAAGCTGCGACTTCTTTTGAAAATGAGGCGTAAAAGGTTACCAGCGAGAATATTCCGTTTGGCATCGGTTGTACCATTATTGGCGACTTTATCGCTTTGCGCCGGCAAAACGGAAAAGTACCGAAAAAAGACAACCTGGTACTATAATTAAGATAATAAGGCATTGCGCACTTGAACGAAGATAAAAACAAATATTTATTTGCAGGAAGACTACAGCTACAAATACAAAGAATAACAATCTTGTTGGTACACTGTTCGAGCAACATACTCAGATGAATTTTACCTCCCATCACGTGACCCGTAGATTATTTTCTAGTTCGGTTGCTGAGTCACAGATATCGAGTTACAACATCTGTCGCACATTTCCACTCAAGCTGTAGAGGTTGTCTTTGAAATACTCTTGCTTGTTTTGGCGGCTGCTTTCTGGTAGGAAAGCACGTCCATCATTTTCACCGGCTTTCTCTTGGACGACCTCTGCCTCAGACTGGGTGTAAGCCAATAGTGTCCTAGCCTTTATATGGCCTCAGGACCAATACATGTTAATTACCAATGGAAGAAAAGGGATCATCAGTAGTAACAATACTATAATAAGTTGACGATCTCTGAGATAAGATCATATGAGATGACATGAATTTGGAATTTTGGTTCTTATCAACATTAATAATATCAACATTAATAATAATATCAACATTAATAATAAGAGAATAGACTGTAACCTGCACTCTATCAAGTTGTTTGAAGATGGCATGATACTTTGATATATATCTTCTCTGCATAGTACTTATGATTTCCTTGGCATCCCTATACTGAATGTTCCATTTGTTTGATAAAGTAGGCGAATTGCTTTAGCTAAGGCTTTATCTCGAGTACGAAATTATAATTTCGACTAACTTTGAAAATCATGGACAGTATCGTCAGTAGTACGTAGCTTTCATGCAAACATGAGATATGCAGCTATCTGATCGATGGCGTTAACATTTTTTCTGTTTTAAGGGCAAATATAACTGTTCGTCGTTTCTCAATCCAGAACTATGATCGTTTTCAACATGGCCAAACGAGGCATAAAGTGCTTATTCTTCTTTTTCAGGGGTTTTCTTGTGGACGGTAAACTACAACTAAGGTTCGCTTAATTTCAATAGGAAACAAACTTGCTGCAATATAGTAGCACTAGCAAATTGTCGTCCATTGTCACTTATAACACGTCTAGGTAGACCGTACCACAGAAAAATATCTTCCATTACTGTGACAGTACACACTTTAACTATTACAATGGTCAGTGCCAATAGTTTCACCCACTTGGTGGCAAAATCTTCTAGAATGAAGATTCATATTTTTTCAATACTCTTATATAAAGTTCCAAAGAGATCTATTGAAAGAGGTTTCAGTCGTTGATTATAAATCGATGCTTGTAATAGTTCAGATGGCTTCTGGTTACTACGTTTGCAACAACTACACTCCTGCTCAAAAAAGAAGTAAAAAAGGCATAAGATGAAATAAAACAAGAACTATTTAATGGGTATGAGAGAAATTGATACAGGCGATTAGTGTGGCGTTACTAGACCACATAGCAAACAATAAAGCAAAAATAAACAAAAACATATTTAGTACGGCCATTAATCACATCGTGGCAATGGAAACATCATGTTATTAACGGGATGATATGCTCTAGTTGAAATGCATGCATGAAAACGGCGTTGCAAGCTGGCAATAGTGTTGTTAGTGGCTTGTTGTGGCAGTAGCGCCCATTCATGTATTAATCAGGGTTCATAGCCACATTTTAGTTAAAAAAATAAGCACATATAAGCACTTTTTAAGCACATTTTAAGGAAAAAATAAGCACCTGTCTAAAAAGAAAAATTAGACTTGTAATTTAAAATATGAGCAATGCAATATTTATTAAGAGAATGGGCATTACCTCAACCGTGGAAAAAAATTAACTTTCAAATGACAGTTCAATTTACAGAATTAGTTTACAATGAGAGGAAAAGAAAACTATGCAGAACTAAACTATATTAGAAGAGTTAATGATGAAATTTGAGTTCAAAATATAGAAAATAAATAATAATAAGCCATATTAATTATATTCGTTTGGCACCTAATAATAAATCCTTTTTATTTTTTCCACTCATATTAATATTTAAATAATTTAACTTAAATCAAAATTCTGAACATTTTTCTAAATTTTCATTGCATAACAGTTTTCCCTTAACATATATTCCAAGCAAAGTAATTCAAGTAAAAAAGAGGCACATTTATAAAATTAGAAGATGGGAAATTGCTTCATTCAGTCATCCTTTAACAGAAAAGATTAACTAACCCGCATACTCGAAAATTGCCGAATATTCCGGATAGTAACTGGAAAAAAAGGAGTGGGGGAGATTGTAGGCGTTCTTTAGATTTAAATTTAGGCTAAATAAATGATTTTGACATTTCGATATGTGCATCATATAAAAATAGACCAACGGAACTGAGAAATGTTCTGCTTAGAAAGCACAGTAAAACTCTTTTAAGTGTTCATTAACAAATCTCAAACTGACCATCAAAATTGATTATCAAGGGAAAATACACACAATACGTGCGGCGTAATTCTACCATATGTGAAATTACGCAATCGGAATCAACACCTGCCGGTATTCGAAGAATAAAGAACTAAATAAAGGAAAGAAAGAGACTTACGTCTGGGGTGTTTCTGATTCTAATTTGCAACAGACTGTATTAAATTTCCGGAAGAGAATCAATCTTCGCTTAGGTTGGGTAGACCGCAAAAACTTTTAGTCCTATTCAATCCAGATTGGACAGTGACAAAAAAAGTCCGCTGCTTCAATATTAGAGATTTTGCGGGAAAACTCCCAACCTCCGTACTGTACAATGTATTGGAAAAAAAAATAATTTGACTATTCGATTACTTTCCTTTTATTTAAGCCATTCCGAATATTATTCCTTAGAGCTAATCTATGTAAAAACACACCCGTTTTTGGAAGTTTATCTATACTTCAGCAGTTACTACAACTATATTATTATAAATATTTCATACATATACTCATAATATAAGCATAACGATCATAATAAACACGAATATGAACTGACCACGCGGAACGAGAATGCAAATTATTAAAATCTTGATAGAAATTCAAACTTGTACAGTATTTGGGTGGGAGGAAATGAATACCGAATGTACCGGAATTTTCTACCGTTTTCGCAATTCTTTGACCCATAGAACGACGTGCACCTGTCTGTACTCTAGCGCGCCATAGGTTACGTTAATGCAGAGGAAGGGGGGAAAGCAATTTCTGGGAGTACGATTCACCATCTAACGTTGCATATAAGGAAGAAAAGTTGTTTATTTAGTTTCGGCTTTGGTACGGGGAAAAAATGCGCGTTCATTTAAAACAAAGGATTAAAAAAAAGCACTAAAAGCAAAAAATAAGCACTAAAAACAAAAAAATAAGGGCTTTAAAGAAAAAGTAAGCACCTATAAGGGCCTTTATATTTTATTTTCAAATATAAGGACTTATAAG